GTTTAAATTCTAAGGGACATACGAAGGGAAGAATCAAGTTAGAGCGGAGCAAAAAATCGTAAATAACTTCGTATAGCATACATTAATAACGAAAGTTAATAACGAAAAAGAAAAATTAAAAAAAAAAAGAAAATTAAAAAAAATTAAAAAAAGAAAAATTAAAAAAAAATTAATAAAAAAAAAGAAAAATTAAAAAAAAAAAGAAAATTAAAAAAAGAAAATTATAAAAAAATTATAAAAAAAAGTTCCTCACCGGGGATCGAACTCTCAATGTCTAGACCCCGCCACGTGCACCGCCACTCGTTTAGCAACTCTACTCGTTGAGCTATCTCGTTATGTCATTGTCCAGCAGCCTAAATAACATACTATATATAGCCATCCGAGAAAATTGGGCAGGTCCGAGCGAATTATGATTGAACATGAAAGCCCGTCTTTAAAAAGAGTAAGTATCAAACGTATTGACATTCCTGAGTAAGAACAATGCAACAGGCAAACATAAAAGTGCAAACATAATAGAGAAACTTCGCCAGGACATGCAACAACGACATCTAGCGACAGGCGGCATTATTGTTGTCATTAACATAATTTATGCAATCATCGTTAGATTTTGTAGTACGATCAATAAATTAGCGCCTAAAAACTTATTTAACCGTACTTCGATCAATGGTATGTCACTAGATGAGACTACATAAAGTTACTACATAAAGTTTCTTTTTGTAAAGAACATGGATTAAAATGGCAGCAAGTCTATTGCACATCCCACAAAACGGAAAGAAGTAAACAGGTATTGCATGGCTTGCAGAGTTACCAAACTACCAAAGAAAGAAAGAAACAAAGAAGGATAGATTCCGTCTTATTACATTTCAGCGCGCATGCGCTGAAATGTAAAAAGGTCTGATACCTTTCGCGACCGTCACTGAAATGATGTTCGTCTTCTTCAAATTATCTTTTGCAACCTTAATTTGGATTTTCGCACAAACTTGTATGTTTTACCTATACCTAGTATAGTATACAAATACTGTATACGAAAGAATAAGCTCGAAATGTAAACACAGTTCCTTTCAAGAAGGTAAACATCACCTGACCAAAATAAACTATGGTGAGACGCGTATAGTCTGGCCTCTGGTTTCACCTCGAGGTCATGTGAGGTCAGCACAACACAGCTGTGGCAATACTGGCACCCATAGCTAGGAGTTAGCCTCTACCAGGCACCGCGGATCGCTGGCAAAATAGTAGAAATTGGCCGAAATAAAGGGATAGTATACCATAGAAGATCCAATTTGCGACCCAGGGGTCCAGGATCTTCTCTGGTATACTTTATTTCGACCAATTTCTACTATTTTTCCAGCGATCCGCGGTGCCTGGTAGAGGCTAGCTAGGAGAAACACCAGACTCCAGGCAGAGGTTTCGGTCGGGAAGGCTAGGAGTACGCCGCGATTTTAACCTTCCCTCCTCTCACTGCCGGAGAATTGCAGCGCTAAAAATCTTGGCCATCCCTATTAGCCACTCCAAAACCTCCTACCGACACCTTTGCTTGGAGAATAACACCAGACGAGTTGTTCACTGTGTGTAATCTCCAAGCAGACCTTTCGGTGGCTGCAAAGACAGTATCAAATTGGCCAGGCAATTGGATACTGCCGGGCTAATTTGATACTGTCTTTGCACCACTGAAAGGTCTGCACTTGAAGATTACGGCTGTGTGGCCATCCTGATTTTTGTTCCTTTCTCTCCTCTCGTAGTGATCACGTATATTGCATAGACGTTACTAGAACTGAGACTTTGGTGCTAACGACATACCATTATCAATATTAAGGAACGCTAAAGGTCTCTAGCCTGGGTGCCATCCTCCGTAGTTTTCGCCCGCTCCCTAATGTCGCTGGCTACATTAGGGAGCGGGCGAAAACTACGGAGGATTGTACCCAGGCTAGAAGGTCTTTTAAATCGGTCACAATTATCATGGTACTTTCACGATTTAATAGAAAGAGGCCGGCGGCCTGTTTAAAAGCACAGTGAGGACTCATTTTACATCAAAGGCACGATTTTGGTGACGTCTGCACGCGTTAGTGTGGGTGGGTGGGTTTGAATGTGGAGCGCCATGGATCGTTAGTACAATCATCAGTGGCCTGTAGTTAACACTATAATCACTCTTCTTATGCCGAATACAACACAGACTAAAAGTGAACTTTTTCTTTCTATTAGTATTTTTTTGCAAGATTGTTTGTGTCTCACGGTGTCAGATTTTGTCACTCCAATCTCAAACTAGAGCATATCATCAATTCATCCAGCAAGAAAAATAACATAAAGATACCTAGCCTCCGTAGCTGAACTGGGGGTTTGGTGGTCTTCGGCTTTTTTCTGCTTAGCCAACCAGGCCGGCTATGTTGTCTATATGCAGTCAGAAAATAACACATAAAAGCTCCGAAAGACCACGAAGACACCCAAACCCCCCAGTGGGAGGCTAAAAGATACCCAGGATGTTGGGATTTTCTTTTACACAACCAGTAATATCTCTCATCTGCTGACGCTTCGGTGCCTATCAGACACCTTCCTCAGAGCTTCTGAGTGGAGTTCTGCTTCTCGCTGCTATATGTAGCTGATGTAGGTGGCACTTTTGACGGCAACCCAAACCGTAGCTAACCGTCAGACATCGAATAACGGAAGCAGGTGAGAGACATTACTGGTTGTGCAAAAGAAAATCTTGATTATATCCCATGTTCTAAATATCCTATGCCCTACTAACCTGATGAAATGCGTGCGTTAGTATCAGTGGATGGGTTTGAATGACAAGTGCCCCGGGTCACCTTAATTCCACTGCGGTTAGCACGATAACTAGTTGCTTCTAGCGTCTTGTCACGAATGAAACTACAGATTGACACCGATAAAAAAATGGTCCGTTTTTTAAAATAGTCAGGATAAGGATTTCGCTTACCCTTACAAAATTAACATTCTACACACATGGCAAAAGACTCTTTTGCCATGTGTGTAGAATGTTACCGGGTAGCCTCTACCCTACCAGGCTTCGGGAGGCGGTTGAAAGAGGGCCAAATAGAGAGATAACATGCCAGCCGGTTTATACTCTTGCCGAAGCCTGGTAGAGGCTAAGAAAGAGGGCACAAGAAAAGAAATAGACATAAACCTAGATTTCACTGGATTAGGGAGGTCACAATACGCTACAGTCACGCCACAGTCATTCAAAACCCGCTCAACACACACCTGCACGGTGGAATGAATGGAGGGCGTTCTCCCCACACACACTAACCCGTACCAGCACTACGGGTACAAACATACCACTGAAGGAAGTAGTTGTTATGTATAGTATCGTGTTTCAGTTTACTGGGTCATGCCTTGCATCGTGTTTTTCTCACAATAACGCTGTCGGAATGCTTATACCCATAATAAGACAATTGGTCCTTTGTACGTGAAGTTGTTTATGTACACAGTTGAGTGACCGTCGTATCTTCCGTCGGCCAGTACAGGAGGGAGTCAAGCAGCAGTAAATCTCTTCAAAGCTATGCTGGACCCCAATCAACCTCTTCACAACCTTAAGCTTGTTCCGCCTCAACGTTCGACTGCTACAGGGAGACAGCTGACGAACAGCTTGCAGAAAGCTAGGACTCAACGTCTCAAAAAGTATTTTTTTTACACCGTGCTGTACAACACTATAAGTATAATGATAATGGTTAATCATGACAACCCACGGCCAATGTTTTAGTTTGGATGTTGATTGTTCATAGTGTGCTTGTTCAAATTGACTTGATTTTTAATCAACCCTTTGTAAAAAAAAATCGGAGCACAATTCAGGGTGCGTTTAACTGATCCCTGCTTTTGTTCGATTTGTGTCGAATAAAATAAATTAAATTAAAACAGCCAGGCAAAACATGTTTTTGTTAACGTTACATAATACTAAAGTTACTAATCGCCAGCATATATTAGGTGCCATCTCCATTCACTATGGCTAACGTAAACAACATGCCAATGAGGGTAACCGAAATCTGTACCTGGTATTTTTATCACCCCCAAAACAGCATCAACTTGAAAGTGTTTAAATTCTAAGGGACATACGAAGGGAAGAATCAAGTTAGAGCGGAGCAAAAATGACTGAGGAAAATTGGCAAAATTAGAAAGAGAATGATACCTTTTCTGTTGCTTGAAAATCACAGAACCACCCACCTCTCTCACCAATACCTAAGAAAATTAGCATATTATACTTGTGTTTACGTTTGGCGGGGTTCAAGGTCATCATGCCTTCAAGGCGCTTTCTCGCGTGTTCCATAGATCGAACGCCGAGGTTCGATCGAACGCTGTAGAATAACCCATTCTACATAGCCTCTACCAGGGTTCGGGAGGTCGCTCGTCTAGTAGAAATTCTGGTGCGACAAAATGTACTCTCCCTAGCGGACCAACTCCCTCGGCATGTTATCTCTCTACTTGGCCAATTTCTAACTCTTTCCACCCTCCTTCTGAAGTCTGGTACTCTGAGGCTACATACTACACACATGCAGGTAGCATCATTGACAGTGACACATTTTACATGCGTTTCGTACCAAAAGTGAGAGTAAAATATTGCTTACAGTGTATAAACCAGGTGTGTTGTCTTACCTGAGTCTAGACGTGGTCACTCCCAGCGACAGGTTGACAGTCAGGGCCAGTCAGGTGTGTGTTTTTACGTCTGTCGTCTTGTTTTTGACTTTAGTCCGTCACTTGTTTGAAACTTGAAACGATGGGCAGTAGGATCCATGTCGGAAAAGGGGGGGGGGTGTATTTGGTAGGAAATAATTATATTTCGAGACACTTGGATGATAATTATTTTAGTTTGTCTAAAAAAACACCACATAGTTAACAAAAAGTTTTCATTAAAATTATAGTTTTGCAGCAATGAGATATCTCAATAGGTTTGACACAAATTTTTATCTGATATTCGATGATGGACCCCTAAAATTTATGGCTCAGGCCATCAGATGACAACTTTTGTTGTTGTTTTTAGAATGAACCACTAGATTTTAGAAAGAAAATTTTAACAACATTAGCAAAGAAGTTGAGTCACATTGGGATAGTTTCCATCATAAAGTGTAACTTTTTTTTACATATTTAGTGTGTTTTTCCGGTTTTGTTTACAGCATCTATTAGCGAACAATGACCGAAAAAATGAATTAGTTATAAACAATAAAAAAACCCTACCTCTCAGAGAGGCGATTTGTGATGGTCCCCCGCCATGCACTGCGCGACGTAAACATCCAAGATGGCGGATCGACGTCGAAAAATAATGTCGCAACTTTTATTGACAGACTTTTCGGTCGGCCAACGACGTGTTAGAAGACTTCCAAGGTGATTTTCATAAGAAATGTACATCAGATAACTGTTCTCAGTGTTGTCATAATTCAGACCGTGGCCTTGAGCACGCAACAGGCGCAGAAATCGAACATTTAGAACAGACGACTTCGATTCGAACATCTTTTAGAACAGACGACTTCGAATCGAACATCTTTTAGAAAAGACGACTTCGAATCGAACGTTTAGAACAGACGACGTCATGGCTGAGTTTGATTTTCTGGAGAACCCCCGGCTGATGAGGGTCCCGACCAAGAAGTGGATCGAGAACCCGTGCGAGAGAATCCTGGTGCCGGACAGAGACTTTGTCTACATGCTGGAGATACAAGACGTGCCGGTCAGGGCGAGAGACAAGGTTTGAGATCACGTCAAATTTTCATGTGATTTGTTTTGGTGCACTGTAATTAAGGGGCGGGGCCCTTTTTCCTTTGTAAAGTTTGTTGTTTTAGTCCAACCGTTTGATATCATGAAGGCTAGATACAAGCCCTGAACGCTGTATTATTACCTTCGCCAAGAAGGTTATGTTTTCAGGGGCGTTCGTGTGTGTGTGTGTGTGTGTGTGTGTGTGTGTGTCTGTCTGTCTGTCTGTCAACACGATAACTTGAGAAGGCCTTGATGGATTGTCTTGATACTTGGTAGATGGGTAGGTCTTGATGAGACCTCAAAATGATTAGATTTTGGACCCCCTAGCGGCTTGTTATGGTACTGCAGCAGAACTTCCGGTTTTGATATCTCAAGATCCAGACATGCTATGGTGATGAAATTTGGATGGTAGGTAGCTCTTGTGCTGGGGAAGAAGTGACGTGAGTTTAGGCCCCCTAGCGGCTTGCTCTAGAACTGCAGGGGGGTTTAAAGGACAAATGTTTAAAAGAGGATAACTCAAGAACCGATTGATGGATCATCATGATTTTTGGTATGTAGGTAGCTTGAGTAATGCTTGACATAATGATATTACAATTATGCAAATATGGATGTAATTTGCATAATTAATGAGGAAATTCTATTAATCAACTGCATTCCATGATAGGAAGTTCAAGCTTGCGACATATGTTATTAACAACGAGAGAAACACAGGCAGATATCGATTATGCAAATGAAGACTTAATTTGCATAATTAATGAGAAAATGTTATAATTGCATAGTGGTAACTGCCTGGAATTTTATACTTGGGGTTTTTGAAGTTTAGTGAAGGTAAACATAATTTAACATAACTTATTCAAATAAGGACCTCATTTGCATAATATATGAGGAAATGCTATAATGGCATTCTTTGTTAAAATAAGACTGTTGGTGGAGATCATGATCAACAGATATAATTCATGCAATTGCGGATCCTATTTGCATAAACATTGTATATAAGTTCTCATTCATAAAAGCTAACATCATTTGGCGAAGGTATGAGATCGTGGAACTCTAGTTTTCTGTATGTAATTAAATACTACCAGGTATAGTAGTTATTAATGTTATACGCCCTGACAAGTGTTTCAAATTTTATTTTAAGTTAATGTCCAATTTTTTTGTATAGTTGACCACACGCGATTCACTGAAGTTTTCATGATAATCCTTTTTGATAATGACATAATGACTCACATGAAAATGACATTATGACGTATTTTCCGTTATTATAGTTTATCCACTGGAGAATGATGACGTCAGAGGAGGAGCAGACCTTCAAACTGTGTGAGCAGGAGAGGTTCTGGACTAGATGTGAGTATCATCAGAAAAATGAATCACATATTATTCATAGCATAGTACCATTTTTTTATTAAAGGGCTCTTTATATTTGACTGATCACTGTTTTTGTTAATATCATTTATTGGTAAGCATAAGAAAATTTTTGGCAGGCACTCACACAACTAGTATGAAGTTGAACTACTACCCGCTTTTTGCCTGTGATGTTACGCAGGAATTGCTCATATTGTAGTATATTTCTGTCATTCCAATAACCAGATATATTCATAACAATTGTTGAAATTTCTTGGCTTTCTGAAAATGCTGAATTATACATGGTTTCCTCCTCTGATTTCCAGCTGTCCCCTTCATGATTGGAGTGTCAGCTATAACAGCAGTCCTGTCCAGAAGGGCAAGTGAGTTTTGTCTGTTCAGCAGTTATTATGTATTTAATAGCAAGGAATTTCAGCTTGCTTTGAAGAGTGACATTGCTTCCAGCTAGTTTTTTTTAGTAAAGTTAATCGATAAATACTTAATTTTCTCAATTGCACAAGTTTTTTTCCTGACATTATTTGTTGACCACAAGCCAAACCAAAATTAGAAACTAGGGTTTTATCTAGTCTCTACCACTTGTTGCCTATAAACATCTGATGTGTGGTGTATTGACTGCTGGTGTAATTACTGATGTTGGCCAAGATAGGTGTTGTATCCTCCAAATAACATTTTCTTTTTCTGACTCAATACCCTCTTTACTTAATTCTCCTCCAGGATACAATCTGTGGCAGAAAGCTATATGCCAGTATGGTGAGTATTAAGTAAAACATTTCTGTAATCACCATTCAATATGGTCTATGTGGATTTTCAGTGACCACTCTGTGGACTATGGGTAAAGTCATACTACTATAACAATGTATATCAGGGAACATCAACAAGTGATCACATTGGCCAGGTAGTCACTTGTACATGTTTGACTGTAGATATTACAGTATCTTCCTGTAAGTTAATGCATCCATGTACATGTCCTTTAGCTGCCCTGACAGTAGGCAGAGACCTGGGCCACTTCACGTACTGGTACCTGGAACACGAGCGCTGGGCGGAACGGTTCATGCACCTGCAGGGGTCGACTTACGGGGAGGCGCTCAGGAGGAGGGACTGTCAGCTGCAGAGGTCAGGGGGCAACGGACATGACCACTTTGTTTTATAGGGGGCCTGTCTGCAGGGCTCGAAATTCATTTTTGGGAATAGGTGCACTGGTGCACCCAACCTAAAACTTTAAACAAACCTAATTACAGATCCTACTGGTCCTCTTCTGACCTTAAATTTGAAATGAGGGCTAAATTCAAAATCTTAAACAAGCACTAATAATGATAACAAAGATTAGATGTCAAGAATATCTTGTTTACTACTATACATTTGATATGTACAAAAATACCTACTGTACACTCAGAGAAAATAATTGGGTGCACAGCTCCAAATTTGGGTGCACTAAGGTGCACATGCACCCAGTACATGTACAATATGTATTTCCAGCCCTGGTCTGGTAGTCTGACTTGTGCTCCAAGCAGCATGTTTGAATATCTGGCCCCTATACAGCCCCTGACAGAGGGAGGTAGTGCTACTAACACAGGCAGAGTACAGTACATCATTTGCAGTTTTTCCAATGGTTTCTTGTATTCTGCTCAATCTTTATAGTAGCATAGCTTTTTACTGCTACATGTACCCCTAAGTTGAGCACAGTGATTTCTAACATACAAGTCATTTATAATGTCAGATGGTGGAAAGTAATGGGCATACTGTTATAGGCTACTGTATAACTGACAACGGATGATGATATATCAAAGTATCTGTGTTGCCTCTACTTATTCTGTCTATTTCCTTAATTTTCAGATGGTATCCTAATGGAGCCCCACCCATCCCCAGGCACTTACTTTACACCAGGACAGAACCCCCCTCATCCTTACCCCCACTGCGGCCCCCCTTGTCCCCTCCCCAACCCCCCAACCCCTCTCCACATTTAATCACAGCCTCGCTGAACCCTCAAGAAGAAGTGCCACAGTATCCAACGGACATTGATGAGAAATACACAGACTATTCTATTGAGTACAACTCCCCACTCTTTACATCTTCTCTGGGTGAAACGTCGGATCTTGAAGAAGAGGAAAGAACTCTAGAAGAAGAGCAAGAGGAGAATCATCCAGAAGTAACAAGTTCCTCCTCCTCCTCTTCAGATGATGATGATAAAAATGACAAATCATCATCCTCCTCGCCATCAGCATTCCCATCATCCCCTTCATCAGCCTTCCCACCATCCTCTCCAACAGCCTTCCCATCATCCTCTCCACCAGCCTTCCCATCATCCTCTTCACCAGCCTTCCCATCATCCTCCTCTCCACCAGACTTCCCATCATCCTCTCCTCCAGCCTTCCCATCATCCTCTCCACCAGACTTCCCATCATCCTCTCCTCTAGCCTTCCCATCATCCCCTGTCAGCTGGGATGAAGATGATGCAACGTGCCATAAAGATGATGCAACAAGTCATGAAGATGATGAAAGAATTCAAGGAGGAGAAAACGTGTTGCCTGATGACTCTGTTGCTGTGACAGAGGACACGGAAGAATTTATACTCCCAGACAAAGGCAAGGACAATGATACAAGACTAGCAGCTTACATTGTACTAACACATTGGCAGAACATACTGCACCTACGCGAAATCCATAATGTATTGTACATAGCATTTTGGCATAACGTCTCATATAAGTTGGTATTTGAGCATATAAGTTTTAACATCCTGTCTGTAGTTTCCAAGTGTTAACTCAGAAAAGATATCTTCTGCAACAGGCAAAATTCTAAGGCAACATTGACCAAAAATCTGACAAATACTGTGAAAAATTAGGGTTTCGTGTACATTCTGCCGACGTGCTAGTACAATATATGCTGCCAGTCTTTGTATCATCACTCAGACTAGCAGAAATGTAGTTTAACTAATGCTTCCAGACTTAAGACTGTGGATTGATTATTCAAGTGGAGGGAAGGTTTATTTATTAAAGATGTCTGTTTTTTTTCTCCACAGAAAAGAAGAGGAACATTTATGGAGACATCATAGAGGATGATATACAAGATGAGAGATAGTACTCAACACAGCTGCAGGCTGAATATTGAGAACTTTACGACTCTGACATTGTTTGTTTGAATCTATGTTTATTTATGAGAGTTTTGTTAAGTGCCTTTCCCAAGGGCACAAGATTGGTCACATGATAGAATTCGAACCCGGGGCCTCTTGGTACTGAGCCGAACATGCTACCGTTTACACCATACGACCCCCCAAGTCTGTACACTTATACAGTCACACAAGTCAGGCAGCCTAGGGCCTGTAATGGTATCTTTTACTGATTTGATGATGTCAATACAAAATTTATAATACCCTGATTTTGTGTTTCATACAGAGTAAGTTGGTCTAATGGAACTCCAAGGGTCCAATATGGCTATCCAGTTTAATTAAATGTACTGTTGATTGAAATAAACTATCCGGTTTATTGTCTGTTGCTCCCCATCTTACGAGGGTTAGACATGCTTCCACAGCTAATTGGGGCTAATTGCAGTTTGATTAAAATAAAACGGTCTTAAACTGAACGGTCTAAAAGTGACTTGCCTGCCTAAGTGTCCCTTCCCTTGCACCATTTTTGTTTCACTCCACTCACTCACTCTCACTCACTCACTCACACACTCACTCATCCACTCTCGCTCACTCACTCTCACCCACTCACTCACCCACATAAACCCACTCACTTCCCTACCCTGATATACAACCTACATGTATAGTAAACATTTGTCAACCAAAAATAACAGACAAGGTTGTTTGGGAAGAGATTTTTTTCAACATTCATCTACACATCCTCTTGTTTACACATATGTACATGTCAATATATCTATTATGTAATATTACTTTACAATATGTACAATGTAATACAGTACTCACAGTACAGTGAGCCGTACTGCTAAGATGTAAACATGAAGTCATATTTGTTCTTAATCTTGGATATATACAAGTTGGATTGTACACTGACTTTACACATCAGTGAAGCATCAGTTCCAGGTCACATGGAAAAAGTTAATTACAAAAATAGTGTCGTCATCTATAAACATGATGTTATACATTATAAGGAAATATAACATTACTGCCATAATCTCAGAAAATTACTAGTATAGATATTAGTACATTGTGCCATCATCCAAGCAAAAGTAATGGGTGAGTGTAAAAATAGATTTTGACCATTTTAACATTGTTCAAAGAAATTTCCCCCCAAAAAAGGAAAAATTTGGGTTGGGGAACAGTGGACTGGTGTTTGGAACTTGATGTTTGGGTGTGTGAGAAGAAAAAAAAAATTGAAAAGAAAATAAGTTAAAACAAAAAAGACAAGAAGTAACCAGTCCAGGAACCAGTCGCAAGTTTGGCCACTGACAATAAAAATGGAAAAGAAGGAAGAAAATGGAGAAAAGATGCTACATGAAAAATGTTTCATCACAGATGGCACATGAGGCAAACCCGCTTCAGTCGGAGAGGGCCACACAGTACATCTCCACTTCAGCCAGGGCGGTTCCAGATTGGTACAAGATCTCCCCACACAGACAGCACAGACACAAGGCCCCGCAGACTAGCCCTACCTCCCCCACTGCTCACAAGCGGACATGACTGTGGGGTCCGGGGAGGATGGGACCCATATCCCGACGTCAACTCCCCGGACTACAGAGTCATATCCGCCAGATGGTGCAGTAGGAGGAGGTAGAGGTAGTAAGCAGGGCCGAGTGTGGACCGTCTGTAGGGTTGACCCCGCCCGCCCCTTCCCCACCCAGCTGCAGTGTAGAGTACTGTCTGGTCCGGTTAACTGGAGTGGGGCTGCTGTGAGTGCTCTATCAATCTGTGTTAAAGTCCACATGTTTCATGTGACATTTAGAGATAAAATAATAATAGAAATGATAATAATAATAAAAATGTGCAATTTTGCCGATAAATTGTATTTGGGGATGATGAACTTAACTTAAGTTTTACAATTACAATTTTTGTCCTTCCCAGTGTAGGATATCAAATTTGCGGTCGTGGTGTTTTTTTTTAATGTTTGGCTTCCGAAACCAAAATGGGCATGAATGTTTTTGAAATTTCTGAAATTGTAAAGAATTACAAATTTTGTATTAAAAAGATTTGCACACTCACCCATCCTTCATTGTCGATGAGAATTAACTGACTGAGATGTGACTTACATTGTGCAGTAAGACTCTACAATGACAGTGATTATAAATGGCTGATATTTGAAAACCCATGTCTGCTATTTCTTGTTGTAGATTGAATGGTGTTTGTACATATTTGTATATAGTGTGTTTCTGTGTACTTGTCCTGTTTTTTTTTAAAAACCAATTGTAAACATTGAAATGTTCACAAAATCTAAAGTGAGCTCACTAGCTGTAAGTAACAATACATTTGTTACAGTGTAACAAATTATATCAATCACATTGGTCTACATTCATATACATTTTTCTAACAGTCTGACAAGTAAAGACTACACTGTCAAGTTTTACCTCACATGAAGCCAATGATACAGTGATTTCTTTTTTTTTTGTCTTCCCAATTTCTGTCTTTCCCAGGCATTTCACTAAACATCAGTAGCCGCTCACGTAATCGGCTGCAAACCCAGTCCAGTAGTACGGAACCTTTGGTGTGGGCTCCTCCTTGGGCTCGGTGGGCTCCTTCTTCTCCGGCTTCTCCCTCTGCTCTTTCAGAAGCTGGTACTACAAAAACAGTGTACAACAGAAATCCGTCTCAGTTCTGATCTGGTCTCACCAACGGGATTCAGGCAAATAACTAGTTTATTGCAAATACTTGCCCGAGGGCTAATTGCGGTTACAAACAACATAAGAAAGAAAATACAGTGGTATGTGAGACTATATCTATGTCTAGCATTATACTATATTCTACAACATACATCATGTACTAGTTTTACTGGGTTTGACTTCTTCATATTGTGCAGTGCACAGTTGCTGCGTACTCTGTTACCTTTATATAATATGTATGAGATCTAGTCATGGGAATTAGGATGAAACGTTACTCACCAGGTGAAGGCCTTCAACGCAGAGAGATGCGCTCGTGGTATAGATGGCCAGGTTCACCGCTGCCTTCTTCCAAACTGGAAGGAAAGTACACAAACTAATTGTAAACTCGCCTGAAACCACAATATATTGTTTCAGTGGAAGTACAGCACACATAAGAGTCTTTTGAAAGTTTCTTCCTGTATTATGAAGGACTAAGGTTTGGGTTCAATGTTGAGGTCACCAGGTGTAAGAAGTCTAAAAACCGTGTAATTCAAACTTAAGCACCTGAAAAAATTAGAGCCTCAACTGAGATAGAGATTGTTTTGACATGGGAGTACAGCTCTAAAAAAGTTCTTAACACATACAGAATTTTAGCACTTATCCCATATGACTATCGGTTCTATACTGGCCAGACAAAACAAACAAACCACAGCATAACAGGACATCTAGAAGAAGATACCATCTTACCAGGATTCACCGTGAAGGTACTGAAGTTAGCAAATGCCTGGGCAGGTGGGACGGTGCCCAAGAAGCCGCGAACGGCCATCCTGCCCAGGCTGAACATTAGGTTCTCTCCTGGGGAAGAAAGAAACAGACTTCATTCAAAACATGAATAAAAAGTTTTTTTTATTTTTTTTATTTATCCAGGAAATACCTGATGGCATTTTTTAATGGTTCCTGGGGGGAAAACCCCAACAAAATCTATTTACAAAAAGAAGTCAAGATTAACAAAGGTATCAAAAAGTTATGCAGATTACAAATTGATACAAAATCAAAGTAACTTAAAATAACATACATGATACATAAGATCATACTACCAAGATAAGAGAAACAGTATTGTATAACGTAGAACCAGGGTAGAACATATTAAAGATTGTAACAGTTTGGATGAAATAGCCATCTTCCTACGACTACATCTGATTATTCAATAAACCTATTCCCTGACATTATCAGTAGTTAAGCCGCTAAGATTATGGGGGAATGTTCTGCTGTTGATAAAGTACTAGTAATTTACGAAGCCCCCCTCCCCCACCACCGCTGCAAAGCTAGCGAGTCAATCGGGTTGTCTGCCTGTGTAGATGTGTTGACTGTGCAGTTAGTTTACTTACTGACCTCCCTAGCGTTTCTATACTTCGTTTGCTGTGCCAACAATCACGAAAGGAATTCTTTATGAATCATTATGACCTATAGAAAATTCAACTGCTCGGCAAAAAAAAAAAAATTCTGGCCCTCCCCCAAAACCACCCTTGGATTTAGTTGGAAAAAAATGCTACAGATCGCGGAATTTTCACCTAAACGTGCGGTAAAACTCCTGTAGTTACTGCTAGAAATGCCTGTGAATGTTTTAGGAACATCGTAATATCTGTAAAACTTACAGAACAGTTGTTGATTCAGCCACAGACACAAGAAGATTTCTCGGAGCTGACTGTGGCACGGTCCAACTTCCTTGGCTGTCGGAGTGCAAATGGTGGGGAAGTCTCCTGATTCGTTGCTAAGTGCGCTGCGCGGAGTCCACTTACTTTCGGGCGGGGGTGAGCATGGCAATACGGGAAATATTTTTACCACATACCGATTGTTTTGACGTTTTATAATCACATTTAGTGTTATACGTTTTTGAAAAGTATATAATTAGTTTAGTTTTGTACTATGAAGACGTTCTTTTTGAAATTTGCTAGCTGTACTGAGATCTAAGTTACCTACTGAAATGAGTGGAACGTTCTAAAATTTGCATATCCGGAGATTCCCTAGCAACGGCACGGCGGCAACCGCGAAATGTAAACACAAGCCGAAGTGTGGGAGGGGGGCAAAAATTTATGATTAATTTTAAGAATTTCACGTCACTTTCACCACAAAAAATAGTCAAGTAAAAGGAATGAAATAAAAGATAGACCGAAAAGATGAAAGCTTTGCTGTATGAAATAAAGAGAAACAATGTCTTTATTCACGTCAAGCCGTAAAGCAGTGTATTTCACTCATTTGATTGTATTTTTGCTCCTTACACTTGCGCTTTACTTTTCTTTGGAGGGGCCGGTGTTGTCTTTATTTCCACCTTGTTTTATTATCCAACCTGTTGTCCAAGATCTCTACTACCTAACCTCATGTCTGGACATCTAGCCTGTTACGTGTTACGTTGGTTTGTTGCTCTTTATTTACGATCATACCTTGACGAAAACGCAAGTGGTGTTACTTAGCAATGAAACTAAAACTAAGATATCTTTTGAGCCTGTACATCATTATGTATGATGTACAGGATATGGTTTAGATAAATCACCCGCGTTGTTTTGAGTTGCTAAACGCCATAATGTTACTCAAACGCCGCGTTTAATTGGTCTTCCGATCTCTACTGACTCTTTTGTCTTTACAATGCTACTGAGTTGCTCGCAACTTGTCAGGTTTTAGGGAATTTGACTTATGGCTTTCATTCTTTTATTTCCTTGGTCTTGAGGTGTAGGAGCTGATTTTCACCTGAGTGATGTAACGCTACTAGATATTAAACCAGCCCAAAATGCGATCGGCTGTCGAGCTATTTTGTCATAAATAAAAGGCCGGATGAAAGTCTGGGTTCTGTGGAGGAGACCTCTAGTGAACAAGGAGTGAAATGCAGCAATATTTGGGC